ATTATGTGACTTGTTAAGCACATTTTGACTTCTGAACTTATTAAGGCTTGCCATAACAATTTTTTATTAATTTGCAAAAATGTCTAAAAACATAATTCCACTTTGACATTATGGGGTGTTTTGTGTAGGCCAGTGACACAAAATCACAATGTAATACTTTTTGAATTCAGGCTTTAACCCCCTCGAACTCTACTCTGGACCTCGAAGCCAGTTCCAATGCATTTTTTCATTGTTCGCCTCTAATCAGGTGGGTGTAATTAATTATCTGTAGAACAGAAAACCACCAGGCTCCAGACCTCGTAGGGTAAGACTTGAATACCCCTGCTGTAATAACAAAATGTGGAATACGTTTAGGGGTATGAATACTTTCTAAAGGCACTGTATCTCTGAACATGGCAACTACAATATATTTAACTTACTTTGTCCTATAAACATGTCTCTTGATTTGTATATCAATTATTTAATATTTTTTTGTCACGCTAATGTGTGTTTTCTGTTTTGTCCTCCAGTATGTATGATGGTATTCAATAAAAACTGTGTGGAGGGAGCAATGAGTCTGACTTGATATGCAAATATAACGTATATATTAAATATAGTCTATATTACATATGACAATTATAAATCTGACTGCCTTTTTATAAACACCTGCTATGTCTATCCAGGGTTTCCCAAACTCGGTCCTCGAGACCCCAAGGGGTGCACGGTTTGTTTTTTGCCCTATCACTACACAGCTGATTCAAATAATCAACTAATCATCCAACTGTGATCATTTGAATCAGCTGTGTAGTGTTAGGCCAAAGACTAAAACGTGCTTGGGGTCCTGAGAACCGAGTTTGGGAAACGATGTGCATAGCCTAATCTGTTTCCATGCAACTGTTGCTGTTGTTCACGGGCTTGACGTCACTTGACCTGACACACAGGACGAAGAGGGCATTAGGGCAATCCCTGCTTCTCTCTCGTCACCAATCGCAGTCAGTTGACTAGTCTACAGCTGAGCAGCTAGAACTCATAGCGACACCGCTTTCTTTTAGACAGTCGTGAGATTGTAATAGCCTATATTTTAAATTCAGTCTGTAATCGAGAAATATCGAGTAAGTGCATATAGTCACTAAAGTGGGACTGTCGCGGTGTAGGAGTTGTTGTGCGGCAAACCGCCCATGACCAAAGCGCATGGAATATTGGAATAAACCGCGACGCACGAATACACTTTCAACTGAAGAAACGAGTTGGCAGTAAATGTTGTCCATCGAAAATCAGTCTTATTATATTGGAGGTTACTTTTATTTACTTCTCGAACCACTTTTATTTCTTTGTCTGTTGCCCTTTGTTTTGGCTGTCAACACGACTGCTGGACTGGACACAGTCATGCGCTCTGTCTCTCTATTGTGACATCGAGTTTCCGCATTTTTCCTAGGCTATTTATGGTTTATTTGAATAGGGACAGATATAAACACATTGATATATCGAATAAATAATTATCTGAAACTTTGCACAGTGTGTAGGACCATTTTCAACAGCTGTCAAAAGCCCATATAGGGAAAGGCTTCATGAGAGTGAAGAGGACTTTCAAGGACTTCTGTTTCATAGACCTTATAGGACTTCATATTTCAGAACAGGACAGGAGCAACCATGGGTGTCAGGCAGAGTAGCCCCGTGGCTAACAGTCGAACCCGGGCGTATTCTAGCCCTGTCCCCCCGTCTGGAGGCAGCACTACCCCAGGGTTCAGATACACAGCTGGGCCTGGTGGCCCCCAAATTCACTACACCGGATGGAACCAACCCAGCTCCTACCACCAGGTGTGTTTATGAGTGTAATGGAAGTCGTTTGGAACCACACTTGTGTGATGAGTAACTGCCTGACACCTGAAGATTTGTGTTAGCTCACCAAGCCAGTGCCAAGGCTTTTAGTTCAGGAGGCTTACACAGTCTTGTGGTACACAGGTTCAAACCTTGGTCAGTTATGCCTGTGTAATTCAGTCAAGTCTATGTCCAGTATCTTGATGTTCAGTGTGTCTGTGTGTGTATCCAACAGACGGGGATTAGTATACCTCATGGCGGCCAGAGCAGGTCGGAGGTGTTCGGTAACAGTCTGGACCTGGAGGAGTCCGACTGGGAGAGAGGACAACACCGGCTGATGATTGGCTCGCTACCACTTCATCTGTCCCCTCACCTACTGGGAGGTGGGTTAAAGTGTGTGTGTGTGTGTGTTCCCGGGCCTGACTGTCTACATTACATCTTATTCCACAACAAGGAATCTGGGCTGTTCTAACCCCCTCCTCTCACTGGGCTGTTCTAACCCCCTCCCCTCACTGGGCTGTTCTAACCCCCTCCCCTCACTGGGCTGTTCTAACCCCCTCCTCTCACTGGGCTGTTCTAACCCCCTCCCCTCACTGGGCTGTTCTAACCCCCTCCCCTCACTGGGCTGTTCTAACCCCCTCCCCTCACTGGGCTGTTCTAACCCCCTCTCCTCACTGGGCTGTTCTAACCCCCTCCCCTCACTGGGCTGTTCTAACCCCCTCCCCTCACTGGGCTGTTCTAACCCCCTCCCCTCACTGGGCTGTTCTAAACCCCCCTCCCCTCACTGGGCTGTTCTAACCCCCTCCTTTCACTGGGCTGTTCTAACCCCCTCCTTTCACTGGGCTGTTCTAACCCCCTCCCCTCACTGGGCTGTTCTAACCCCCTCCTTTCACTGGGCTGTTCTAACCCCCTCCTCTCACTGGGCTGTTCTAACCCCCTCCCCTCACTGGGCTGTTCTAACCCCCTCCTTTCACTGGGCTGTTCTAACCCCCTCCTTTCACTGGGCTGTTCTAACCCCCTCCCCTCACTGGGCTGTTCTAACCCCCTCCTTTCACTGGGCTGTTCTAACCCCCTCCCCTCACTGGGCTGTTCTAACCCCCTCCCCTCACTGGGCTGTTCTAACCCCCTCCCCTCACTGGGCTGTTCTAACCCCCTCCTTTCACTGGGCTGTTCTAACCCCCTCCTTTCACTGGGCTGTTCTAACCCCCTCCCCTCACTGGGCTGTTCTAACCCCTCCCCTCACTGGGCTGTTCTAACTCCCTCCCCTCACTGGGCTGTTCTAACCCCTCCCCTCACTGGGCTGTTCTAACTCCCTCCCCTCACTGGGCAGATAAGAAGAGGAAAGATAAAAGGAAGACTCAGTCACATTATGTGAAATCCACACCCCCTCTCTTCCAGTGTGGGGCCAGAGGAACACATTTAGGCCAGCAGATAAGCACTTACTTTCTCCATGACATTTCACACACACACACACAGACACCGTGTACCGTGTCAGGACCTCTCACATACTGGCCTCATTCATGTTCCATTCTATTGTGTGTTTGTGACAGTTTGCGAGCAAACACACACACACACACACAGGAGAGTGAGTTACGGTTGGAATGGTGTCTGGGTCAGTCTGTAATTGATTAATCTTTTCGTATGGAACCATGACTGATGTCATCATGATTATTGACCTTTGGTCATTATGCAGAGTCATCATAACCACATGGTTGACATATTTGTGTGTGTGCGCTGACATGTCCGGTTCTATATGTCTCAGGGTTCCACTGTCCTGTGTGCAGTAAGTTTGTGGTGTCAGATGAGATGGAGATCCACCTGGTCATGTGTCTCACCAAGCCACGACTCACCTACAACGGTGAGTGTGTGTGACTATATGCGTGTCCCCAATCATCTCTGGTTTGTCTGCCTGTCCGTCGGGCCTGCTGGTTTAGAATTCCTTCGGATTGGCTAGTATAGTAATGATGTCAGGATGGTTATGGTGGTGTGTCTGTGTCCCAGAGGACGTTCTGGAGAAGGATAGTGAGGAGTGTGCAATCTGTCTAGATGAGATGGAGCAGGGAGACGTCATCGCTAGACTGCCCTGTCTCTGTATCTACCACAAAGGGTAACTACACACACACACACACACACACACACACACACACCAACATGATCACAGTAAGATGCTGTTATTTTACTCATGGTCCCCCCCTCTCTCCCTCTCTCTCAGGTGTATAGACGAGTGGTTTGAGGTGAATCGTTCGTGTCCAGAGCACCCCTCGGACTAAGGCCTCAGATACCCACAGCATGTCTACTATCTATCTACTTCATCCAGATCTACGTCTTCATGACATGCTGGCCTATGAATCTACTTCATCCAGATCTACGTCTTCATGACATGCTGGTCTATGAATCTACTTCATCCAGATCTACGTCTTCATGACATGCTGGCCTATGAATCTACTTCATCCAGATCTACGTCCTCATGACATGCTGGCCTATGAATCTACTTCATCCAGATCTACGTCTTCATGACATGCTGGTCTATGAATCTACTTCATCCAGATCTACGTCTTCATGACATGCTGGCCTATGAATCTACTTCATCCAGATCTACGTCCTCATGACATGCTGGCCTAGAATCTACTTCATCCAGATCTACGTCTTCATGATATGCTGGCCTATGAATCTACTTCATCCAGATCTACGTCTTCATGACATGCTGGCCTATGAATCTACTTCATCCAGATCTACGTCTTCATGACATGCGGCCTATGAATCTACTTCATCCAGATCTATGTCCTCGACATGCTGGCCTATGAATCTACTTCATCCAGATCTACGTCTTCATGACATGCTGGCCTATGAATCTACTTCATCCAGATCTACGTCTTCATGACATGCTGGTCTATGAATCTACTTCATCCAGATCTACGTCCTCATGACATGCTGGCCTATGAATCTACTTCATCCAGATCTACGTCTTCATGATATGCTGGCCTATGAATCTACTTCATCCAGATCTACGTCTTCTGACATGTGTCTATGATCTACTTCATCCAGATCTACGTCCTCATGACATGCTGGCCTATGATCTACTTCATCCAGATCTACTCTTCATGACATGCTGGCCTATAATCTCTTCATCCAGATCTAGTCTTCATGACATGCTGGTCTATGAATCTACTTCATCCAGATCTACGTCCTCATGACATGCTGGCCTATGATCTACTTCATCCAGATCTACGTCTTCAGAAGCTGGCCTATGAATCTACTTCATCCAGATCTAGTCTTTGACATGTGGCCATGAACCTACTTCATCCAGATCTACGTCTTCAGACATGCTGGCTCATGAACTACTCTTCATCCAGATCTACGTCTCATGACTGCGTCTATGAATCTACTTCATCCAGATCTACGTCCTCATGACTGCTGGCCTATGAACTACTTCATTCGAATCACGTCTTCATGACATGCTGGCCTATGAATCTACTTTATCCAGATCTACGTCTCATGACATGCTGCTATGAAATCTACTTCATCCAGATCTACGTCCTCATGATGCTGGTCATGAATCTCTTCATCCAGATCTACGTCTCATGACATGCTGGCCTATGAATCTATTATCCAGATTAGCGTCTCATGACATGCTGGGCCTATGATCTACTTCATCAGTACTATTCACTCGACATGCTGGCCTATGGAATCTACTTCATCAGATCTAACGTCTGTCAGACATGTGGCCTATGAATTACTTCATCCAATCTACGTTCTTCATGACATGCTGGCCTATGAATACTTCATCCAGATCTATGTCCTCGACATGTGGCCTATGAATCTACTTCATCAGATCTAGTTCATGACATGCTGGCCTATGAATCTACTTCATCGATCTACGTCTTCATGACATTTCTGGCCTATGAATCACTTAACAGATCTATGTCCTCGAATGCTGGCCTATGAATCACTTCATCCAATCTACGTCTTCATGACATGCTGGCTATGAATCTACTTCATCCAGATCTACGGCTGACCTGCTGGTCCGTGAATCTACTCTTACCTATATCTATGTCTGACCAGTGTTTGAAGAATAATGACACTAGCCTGTAAAGTGTAGCCTACTGTTTTGCCTCACCAGTATACCTGAATCCTGAAGCTCATTTAGAGATCTCACATAGACTTCATAGACTGGCCAGACCCGTCTTTGAGAGTGGTTGACTGGGCCAGACCGTCTTCTGAGAGTTGGTGTTGGACTGGGCCAGGACCCGTCTTCTGAGAGTTGGTGTTGGACTGGGCCAGGACCCGTCTTCTGAGAGTTGGTGTTGGACTGGGCCAGGACCCGTCTTCTGAGAGTTGGTGTTGGACTGGGCCAGGACCCGTCTTCTGAGAGTTGGTGTTGGACTGGGCCAGGACCCGTCTTCTGAGAGTTGGTGTTGGACTGGGCCAGGACCCGTCTTCTGAGATGTTGTTGGACTGCTAAAACAATACTACACAGCAGAGAGTTGTACCTCAGCTGACTGACTGACAACATTGAAGACGCTGCTCATGCTTAGATAAGACACTGATGGACGGATGTCGTCTCAGAGTGATGATGTCATAAGGAGGAACACGGTAGTGCGTGGACACACAACGAGACTTCATATTGCCTCCAGCGATCGAATCCTCTCAGATCTACACTAGTGCTTAGTGGGTAGGGGTGAATTTGGTATGATGGGGGGGGGGGGGGCATACCTTCATTGTTACTATTACTGTATTGTGATAATGGGTTTATTGATCATCAGCTTTAATGCTGTAGAATGAGGGAATTTAGACAACCGTTTCTATTGTAGTAAGACTGAGTGCTGTGGCTGAAACATGCTAATTCTGATGCTCATTTGTACATATGTCAATTATGAAGTCACATGTTCTGTTGACCTTCATTTTATTTCCGTGGTTGTGTGAAATCATTTTAAAGGGAATTTAAAAGCTAAAAATGTGATATTAAAAACCCACCTTTGATTTACTAAGGCATCATATGTATATTTTGCATAAGAGCTTGTATTCGTTGAATTAAGTAAACTGAAGCACAAATCAACTCCATATGTACTGTAACTAGTGATAATATTATTACAGTTGTGTGTTCAACGTCATTAATGGATGTTTAAAAGACAATTGTTTAATCATGTTCCATATGTACCGTGTTTTAATACTGAATCAGAGCCTTCAGAGGTTTAAGAAACAAATAATACATTGATTTCTGAACTGATTTCATTCAGTATACGTCCTTTAAATACATTAAAGTGTCTCCCATTTCAATTGAACCTTTCTTCATATCTCTAAGGCCACATCCAATGCATGTCATTCTTCATGGCGTCTGTCTGTTCATCCTAAATGGCACCCTAATCTCTATATAGTGCACTACGTTTGACCAGAGGCCAAAAGGGCAGGGCCCCGATTTTTTTTTTCTTCTTGAGCGGATGTTCAGGGGGCTGAAACAGGCAGGGTCAGCAGGTAGCCTGGTGGTTAAGAGCGTCGGAAGTGGAAACATAGTTTGACTTAAACAATCATTTCAAACCTTGCTTACATTTGTATACGCTCATGTCTTATGCGTGGGAATACTTGGGAACAGATTTATTGTATTAAAATCACTTGGCGCTGACTTGTTTCTTATGTCCAACAATAACAAAATAAAAAAATACTAAAAATAAATACTTTGGAGGCCAAATAAAGCCACCTATGGGACACCAATTGGTGAACCCTGCAATAGGGTATCATTTCAGACGCAATCTGTGTGCGTCTACTTTATGACCTGTGAGATCTGGTCCAGGATAGAAGATGTTGGTCTGAATCTCCTCACATACTGGACTGGTAGACCGTTCTGCTGGGCTCCTAAACAAACCACATACACACACTTTAAGTAAATCACTCATTTTATATAAATTCATTAGGCCCTCATCTATGGATTTCACAAGACTGGGATTAGAGATATGCATCGGTTGGTCACAGATACCTTAAAAAACAGGTAGGGGTGTGGATCACAAAACCAGTCAGTATCTGGTGTGACCATTTGCCTCATGCAGCGCAACACATCTCCTTTGCATAGAGTTGATCAGGCTGCTGGTTGTGGCCTGTGAAATGTTGTCCCACTCCTCTTCAATGGCTGTGCTTAGTTGCTGGATATTGGCGGGAACTGGAACACGCTGTCGTACACGTCAATCCAGGGCATCCCAAACATGCTCAATGGGTGACATTTCTGGTGAGTATGCAGGCCATGGAAGAACTAGGATATTTTCAGCTTCCAGGAATTGTGTACAGATCCTTGCGACATGTGGCCGTGCAGTATGCTGAAACATGGATGAATGGCACGACAATGGGCCTCAGGATCTCATCACGGTATCTCTGTGCATTCAAATTGCCATTGATAAAATGCAATTGTGTTTGTTGTCCATACCATAACCCCACCGCCACCATGAAGCACTCCACAAGGTTGACATCAAACCGCTCGACCACACACGGTCTGCGGTTGTGTGGCCGGTTGGAAGTACTGACAAATTCTAAAACGACGGAGGCGGCTTATGGTAGAGAAATCAACATTATCTGGCAACAGCTCTGGTGGACATTCCTGCAGTCAACATTCCAATTGCACGCTCCCTCAAAAGTTGAGACATCTGTGGCGTTGTTTCAAAACGGCACATTTTAGAGTGGACTTTCAATGTCCTCAGCACAAGGTGCCCCTGTGTAATGATCATGTTGTTTAATCAGCTTCTTGATATGTCAAACCTGTCAGGTGGATGGATTATCTTGGCAAAGGAGAAATGCTCACTAACAGGGATGCACAACATTTGAGAGAAATAAGCTTTGTGTGCGTATGGAACATTTCTGGGATCTTTTATTTCAGCTCATGAAACATGGGACAAACACTTTATATTTTTAGTTCAGTGCAAATTCCATTTTAATGCATAGCGCTATATAATTTTTTGTATATTCCCTTCCTAACCCTCAATAAAAAATACAAAAATCAGAAAAGGGCAACGTTTCCACATACAGTCCATCTGCATGACAGAGACAATCATGTTTACTGTATGTCATTCCAAAAGTGATCCATTGACATCTTACCATCCTGGGCCAGTATTTACCAGTGGCGGTTATTTGGTAAATGAGTTATTGATGCACAAAGAATTTAAAAAATAGCCTCATCCACCATCCTGACCAGCCCTGTAAGCTCACGAGATCAGGATGGTCGAACAAGGTTAGCGCAAATGATCAAATGTAAAATGTTCATGCTGAAACATGATAATTTATTTACAGGATTAGATCCAGTCAGCCCGCCCAACTTTTTTTTAAAATTTTCAACAGTTCTGAACTACACAACATACACGTCAACTAAAGAAAGGCAATAAAGCGCAGACACTTACTTCGCTGTTCGTGTGAAATATCTTTAATGTACAAAAAAAAGAAATTAACTAAATCGGCCTTGGGATTCACAAACGTTTCCTCCAAAAATAAGAAAAAAGGTGACAAAAACAACGTTGCTGTACAAACAGTAGGACATGACTGACAGCTGCGTCATCATGGCGATCATCTCCTGGGCCCTCCCCTGCCTCGGCCCCTCCCCCTTCCGCGCCCTCTTCCTCTGCCCCTTCCACGCCCAGCCACTGGAGAGAGATGGAGGGAGGAGAGAGGGAAGAGAGATGATTAGAGATTAGTTATGCATCACAAACGTTTCGACTCTCCCACTCCTGTCCGTGGGTTTTGTTTGTCATTGTTGGGAGCTGTCTCTTACGGAACAGCATTTGCCTCATCAATTTATTAGGCGGAATTGCTAGTTTTAATTTAGGTTTAATGAAGCAAATCTTCGAAGGCGAGAACTCAGTCATGGCATCATCAGAAGGCAGGCATTAGATGTAGGGCTGACCCAAGATTATTTTAGTCGAGCAGTCGCAAATAAATATATCATTTTCATGGTGTAGCCTACATGACGCCTGTCTGAGTGGACTAGCCAGGCCTAATCGCCCAACCTCACTAATGCTGTTGTGGCTGAATGGAAGCATGTCCCCGCAGCAATGTTCCAACATCTAGTGGAAAGCCTTCCCAGAAAAGTGGAGGCTGTTATGGCAGCAAAAGGGGGACGAACTCCATATTAATGCCCATGATTTTGGAATGAGGTGTTCGACGAGCAAGTGTCCACATACTTTTGGTCATGTAGTGTACCATCCTGTAGGTTTTCGATCCAACCCTAATCTAGCAGGTTTATAAAATGAATCAGGTTAGTTACAATTGGGGTTGAAGTGAAAACCGACAGGAACAGGGTTGGAGAGCCCTGGTCTACACCCTGTAACCCTCCAGGACCAGGAGTGAACTAACTTAGGTTGAATCTTTAAAATAATTCCTCGATTCCTAGCGTCCCCTCTGATCGCCGCCTCAGAACGTCAGAGGGAAGCGAGGACGGGAACCTTGGATATTACACTGATATGTTGACCAGCCTCACAACACTTCCTTTCTCCTCCTTGTGTACTAACCAGCCCCCCTCCCCCCCCCTCCTATTCGACTTGACCTTGGGTTCCATGTTGACCTCTAACCCCCATCCCCTCCTTGTGAACTCACCAGCCTCTCTCTTCTTGGACTTGACCTTGGGTTCTATGTCGACCAGCAAGGGTGTCCAGTGGCAGACTGTCCGGCAGGATGAAGTATCTGATGTTGTTGCCACGGATACTGAGGCTCTCCAGCTGGGTGGGCTCGCGGTTCTTCAGAGTCATCTTCACCGCCTTCAGGTGAGTGTTCATACTCACGTCCACACCTGGGACACACAGTTAACGACCATTGTTAAATGTTAAGGTAATACTATAGCAGACCATGCACGCTCATTCACATATACCCTACTAATAGGTATCTGACAAAGAGCTCCAACTTCAATCTAACTGTGGAGAGTTTCCTACTAAAAAACATCACTTGGGACAACAGGCTACAATAGTAAACGTGTTTGGACTGAGCAGCTACAGCACCCTAAACTGGACTTTGTCCTAGTTTACATCTCAATAGTCCTAAGTTGGAGGTGTAGCCATTGTTCTGTCAGACGTGAGGGGGGGGGGGGGGGAGGGGGCACGGTTCAAACCTGTGATAGTCCCATGGACCTGGGTTCCATTCTTCAGCTCAATGGTCACAGTCTCATGGCTGAGTTTCATCAAAAAACTACAGGAGGAGAAAACGGTATGGTTATGATTAGAGGCAGTGTTATAAGACATGCTGTTTATGAAGTTGTGAATCTCTCTTACCAGCTTGGTCTTCCAGGCACTGTAAACAACCTCGACACAGACCATTTCCTTAGACAATGAGGTGGGTGGTTGTCATTGTTTAGACAGAAAATCGTTTAGAAACACGTTTTTATCCAGGGTCTCCTATTTCCGCCTGTGGGCTACCATTGTAGTCCATTCTAGACCACGCATTTGGGTACCAAGTTATCTCCCGCGTCTACAGGCAGAAAATGGGAGACCCTGGATAAAAACGTGTTTAACACGCGTATTTGATAACTAAGGACACATTCAACCCGACGAATCGTATGTATTTTGGTGAAACCGAGTGGTTTAGATTTAGTTGATCAAGGACGCCAGGCTACGGAAGCTCCCGCAACGAGCCATCTGTCTAAACAATGGCTCGTTGCGGAATACAGCAATTGGTAAGTAGCTACTTAGTTTGGTGTGTGCAATGTTCAAAACAAACGCGAGAGAAACACCAACCAGAAGTCTAAACAAGAGCACAACATTGTTTTGAACTATTGCTTGGAGGGAAACCACACAGGGCCCTGCATGCACTGTGGTTTACTAACTTAGCTAGCTAACGTTAATAGTAAGTTAGCGTATCAGTGGCTAGCAAATAACAGTGTCGCATAGAAAGTCACCAGCTAGTTCAACGACAGTTGTACAATTAATGTGTTATATGTTATTTTCGCGGTTGAAAGCCAGTTCATTATATAAACACAAACAATAACTTAGCTAGTCGCTTCTGCATCTCTCAATCATATCAACTAACTGCTTCCCACTTCAGAATCCAGCGAACAAGCTCGCACTCCAAATCTAAATCAATCCAGCGACTCAAACCCATATTTTTCACCTTGCATTGAAGCATAAGACTAAAGATGATTTTTATAAAATTCTTACCGTACGAGTTTCATCTTGATAATGGATTGCAAAGACAAATCCTCCACCAAAGTCAAAAAAAAATTACAGCGTACAAGTGGGATCACAGGCCGCTGTTGTATGAAATACGTTTTCGTAGCAGGATCACTGGCGTCATAAAAACGCGACCGAACCAGGACATGCAAAAATAAATCATCAGTGAACATTGCCCTCTAGTGGTAGTGGAAATGCATGACAGTTAAGATTCCGTCTTATGTATGATGAGACTGACAGTATGAGAAATTGTTGGCGCACCTTCATCAATAATGTTGTTTGTTTAATGAGGTTGTCCAACTCTCATGTTAAAAGCATTTATACTGTAGCAAGAAGCAAGAGTTCTATAGTGACAAAATATGTAGTCATCATCAATTAAATAAAAGTACATTGAAATAAATGTGTTTTTTTTTTACTGTTTTTTTTTTATTGAGAGTAAACTTATTACTGATACTTTCATTCCTTGGCCACACATCGAACGTCGCTGTCTTTCATATGGACTGGGAATGTATCAAGTATCGTCTATGAAAGTGCAAATAACACCAAGGTTTATGGTTGCCAGGGTACAGTAATATAAAAATCAGACGGTTGGGTTACAAAATATGACACAGCCACTGGCCTCGAAACATTAAATTAAGTACCAAGAAAATACAAAACCAAGAAAAAAATGGAATAAAAACCTTATCGTGAACAAAATGGGCTAAACAAACAATTATCTTAACAATGGTGTCGTACAAAAATATAAAGATTCCAAATCCAGACTCCAGTGTTCCAGTTCATGGTTTGTATGATCTGTGCGCATCACGTCACACCCTACTATAAACTACTGCACCACTAAAGTAACGTAAGCATTTTGCTGCACGCGATATAACATCTGCTGAACTGTGTACGTGACCAAAAAACTGTGATTTACTTCAGATGGTTCCATTTTACATTTAAGTCATTTAGCAGACGCTCTTATCCAGAGCCACTTACAGAAGCAATTAGGGTTAAGTGCCTTGCTCAAGGGCACCGACAGATTTTTCACAATGTTCGGCTTGGGGATTCAAACCAGCGACCTTTCGGTTACTGGCCCACACTCGGTTACTGGTTGCACACTAAACTTTAGAAAAGTGCCCTACACCCAACAGTGAAGTTAAACCATGATTGCCTTTTATGATTGTATTCTAAATCTAATTACTACTTGTTTTAAGTAGAACAACATGGATTATTAGAATTAAATAATGGGAGAAATATGATTTCAGAATTCATATTATAATCTTGTATGCAGCAGATTCATCTCTATAAAGTAGACTCCATTATAATCATCTTAGCTACATTGTCTACCAAGTACTAACATCTTCACTACACCAACGCAATGCAAATGCAAAGAACAGCCTCCTTGTCCTGTACCTTGTGTCTCAGAGTAGGAGTGCTGAACTAGGATCAGTTGAGCCTTTTAGGTCATAATGAATACGATTAAATAGACAGGGGGGGGGGGGGCCTGAACCTAGACCAGCATTGTGAAGCAATGAAAGGTGAAAAACACCCAAACAACACTCTTTGCACGTTGCTTGGAAAAAAGGGGTTAGTCAATAAAAATGATTGAAAATAAAGGCACACTGATGAACTCGGCCATGGACTTTGTTTCTAAAGAGTAGCCGTGTCACGTAGTTTTGATCTGGATAAATAAAGGTTGAATACAAACTTAGTCTTAGTCTGAGGCATTCCACATACAGTCAGTCCATCAGTAGTGGAATGGATATGAAAGATAAAATCACTAAAACCACTCATACATGATTGTATTTAAACACACACCTCTCAGCTGCTCTGATCAACTCGGTTCACATGACCTGATCAGACCTGGGTCACATATACTGTATTTGCGCTCTGTGCCCAGCAAGCTAAATCAAGTGGACACTCCATGTTTAATGTCAGACGTTTCTCCTACTCTTTCCTCCAAATGCTTTTCATCCCTTCATCTTCTCTACTCTGTCTGATAATGCTGTTAGTCATTCTCTCTCTCTTTTTATTATATTATTTTCTCTCTCTCCATCTCTGTCACTGTTGGTTATCATTACCTCCCTCTCTCCTCCTCTCTTCCTCCCTGTCTCTGTCATCTGTCCATCTGTTGTCACACCAGGTGAACTTGCTCCTCCCACTCTGCGGGTGATTGGTCGTCCACTAGCTGGGGGGTGAGGCTTGAGCCCATCTCAGTGGGAGTGAGGTTGTCATCTCCACAGTGTGAGTGTGTGAGTTTGTCCACTGCGTCCTGCGACAGGTCCGACACACACCCCGTGTTCACACACTCCTCGCCCTCACAACACTCCAGATCCAGAGTGCTGGGTCTTTTAACCTCTAGGCTGCCCACAGGGCAGGGGGAGCCAGCCTGTCCCCTCCCCGTCTCGCCCTCTCCCTCCTGGGCCGGCCGTAGTTCATCTGTGGCCTCCACGCTGGAACTGACATGGGAGTCAGGAGGGGAATTACTCTTTGGCTCCCCACCGTCTTGGGGTGAAACAGTGGGTGAGTCTGTCTCTGCATCTGGGGGTGAGTATTTCTCTGGGGGTGAGTCAGTCTCGGAGCTAGCGGAGGGGATGAGGGTGATGTTCTGGGGGTGGTCCTGGGGGTGTGTGTGTTGGATCCAGGCCATGATGTTGTCCAGGAGCAGGGCTCCAGCTGAGGGCTCCAGGGGATCCAGACAGCCCGGGTCACTGGGGGTGAAGGGACCTCCTGGAGGGACCACTGGGGACAGGAGGAGGTCTAGGTCTGGGTAGGGGAGTAGGAGGGAGTGGGGTTCTGTGGTAGGGTGATTGGGGTCTAGAGTGTGGGAGTCCAAGGTGAGGGCATGAGGGGCTGAGGTGTAGGAGGCAGTGTGGTCTGGGTTTGGATTTGAGGTGTGGTCCGGGTTGCAAGGGTCTGGGTTAGGGGTGTAAGGGTCTGGGTTAGGGGTGAGAGAGTCTAGGTTACGAGGGTCTGGGTTAGGGGTGTAAGGGTCTGGGTTAGGGGTGTAAGGGTCTGGGTTAGGGGTGTAAGGGTCTGGGTTAGGGGTGTAAGGGTCTGGGTTAGGGGTGAGAGAGTCTAGGTTACGAGGGTCTGGGTTAGGGGTGTAAGGGTCTGGGTTAGGGGTGTAGTGGCTGGAGTGGCAGCAATGTTGGTGGTTCTGGTCAGGATGTGTGTTCTGGGTGTAAGAGATGGTTTGGTCTGGTTCAGGGTTATGGGGAAGGCTGAACATAGCATATGGCTCTGGGTCTGAGGGGTAAAGCCTTGTGTGTTTAGGGCTACAAGACGCTGTAAGGTCTGGGAGAGGAGGAATGTCAGTGTAGGGTCTGGGTTGGCACTGAACAGAGTTGTAGGAGGCATTGATAGTGGGATGGCCACCGTTTTGGTTTTGACCGTAACTATGGTTGTGTTCTGGAGTGAAGGGAATGTTGATAGTGGTGTGGTCCTGGTTAAGGTCACAGGTTTGACCGTAGCCGTGTGTATAAGGTGTGCTGTGGTCAAGGTTCCAGTACAGCATAGTTGTGGTCAGTTGTATTGGGTGTGTAGCCATGGTCCTGACTCTGCCTGTATCTGGGGGAAGGGTTGTAGTGGTCGTAGGTGTGGCCTAAGCTATATGGCGTAGGGATATTAGTGTTGTCTAGGGTATATGGAGTAGTTATGTGTCCCAGTCTCATCAGACTTTCTCCTAGCTCTAACAGCTCAGCATTTAGCGACAGGTTAGGGTCTGGTCTGGGGAGGTTAGAAGAGCCACTGGCCCCCAGAGAACCACCCACACTGGAGGGGGCCTGAGTCTCACTGAGGCCCCCCACCCCTAGACTCGTTACTGGCCCTATATCCAGACCCTGTCCAGACCAAAGTCCTGGGTCCTCAAACACACCAGAGCCTCTCTGCAGTTCTCCTCCCATCCCTCTCTCTCTCCCTCCCTCCCTCTCTCCCTCCCTCCCTCCATCTCTCTCGCCATCCCTCCCTCCATCTCTCTCTCCCTCCGTGAGTCCTGGAGTGACAGTTGGATGGCCAGTAGAATGTTGGGGTCGTCTTCATCCAGTGACCTCAGAGGTTGTCTCCGCCCCACAACTCTCTCCTGGAGGACCTCTGTCACACATAACAATAACAACACAACCAAAGGTCAGAGAAACACACAGGACATACTGATGCATTGTGTGTGTGTGTGTGTGTGTGTGTGTGTGTACCTGTATTCTCAGTGTCCTGGTTGGGTTCAGGAGTGCTGCTGTTGCTCCTCAGACCGTGTAAACTCGGCATGTCACCTCTACGACGCGGCCGGTGTCTCCGGCGGTACTGGAAATCTGCATACTCCTACAGGTAGTACGTTATACATTATACAGTTAGCACATACTCCTACAGGTAATACATTATACAGGTAGTACATTATACATTATACAGGTAGAACATTATACATTATACAGGTAGTACATTATACAGGTAGTACATTATACATTATGCAGGTAGTACATACTCCTACAGGTAGTACATACTCCTACAGGTAGTACATACTCCTACAGGTAGTACATTATAGATTATACAGGTAGTACATTATAGATTATACAGGTAGTACATTCTCCTACAGGTAGTACAATATACAGCTAGTACATTATAGATTATACAGGTAGTACATACTCCTACAGGTAGTACATTATGCAGGTCAGTCACATGATGTAACAGGACGTGGCCACCAATAAGGACTTTCTCATAGAGAAACAGTATAAAAGCTTGACACTGGTGTTATGTTTAGTTACCTCAGGAGAGGTGAATCCCAGGTACTCCCAGTCCCATGATGTGGCAGGGAAACTGAAACATTCAATATAGAGCTTGGTAAAGAAAAGATCTGTAAAAATAACCCTGATCTGTCTAGTGGATGTTTACTGTCTATTGGGGACAAATCAAAGTTCACCACTTAATGTTTACAGTTATGTAGTACTTATGTTACATTTTCCACTCTCTTGATACAAACACCTTCCTCCCCTCCTTCCCTCGCTCCTGTCTCCGTCCCTCCCGCTCTCCCTCC